AGCTTTTCTTAGATGAATGAATTAATTGTAAAGAGAGTGGTATTTATAAAGCGCACAGACGGCTGAGAAGTGTCGCTGATGGACTCAACATCGTTATCAGGGAAGACTCTTCCTCTTATACAGTTTTCTAAGCGATGACTTTTTCTGCATGGTCGATGACCAACCCATTCCTGGAAAGCTACCATTTATATATTATATCCAGTGGCATGTTCTTCAACCCTAATTGTATGCTTTCAATGGTACAGGCATTTTATTGTTTAATAAACTTCTTTATTTGACAAGTACCTTGACCCTCTTCGGATTTCAAGGTCCTCGACTTGCACGTGTGTTTGCCATGATCTCTAAACAATGCTGGCATCACCCAAACCGCATCAGCTCTATCAGTCAATATCTTCCTGTGAAATGTATTTTTGGCGGCGGAGATATGTTTATATATCCTTTTGCCCTTCACCGAAGCATTTATAAACTCCGAGTATATATACATGTACATTGGCGAGGGGAAAAAAGATATGAAACTAAACTCTTACCCAACTAGCCAATTTTAAAATGTGACATTAACTAATTCCACTGACTGACTACTGTGTTTAACGTGTTGTGAGATTGAACAAGGATTCATCGGGTGGCATTTTATTTGAATCGTTGAAATACATTGTTCTCGTTGAATTGGACCAGGAGGTGCTGTTGATGTCAATGGAACACACAGCGTTCCTCCTTTGTAAAGTAAAAATTGATGAATGGTCTGCATTGAATAATGTAGTGTATTGCTGTTTTCTTTGCATGCTGTAGATGCTTCCAAGATCAATCCTAACCACAGCAGATTGACCACGCGAGGCTGTTACACATATGTGACTGCAAAGGCTTTGCAATCTTGGCAGTATGGTCGACCATGGTTGGACTGTACAGTCCAGTGAATAGCAAGTTACACATAAGCTCAATGATTCTCAGTGGGGCTTGTGAGGTTCACGTCTCTAGCTCTCTGTCATTTTTGACTGGTGAACAGCAAAGTGAGTTTGGCTGAAATGATTGTAGGAGTAGTCTACCTACCGTCGGCTGTGTTTTTGGTATTAAATGACACTTATGACACACTTTGCTATGGGAGGACGCTATGTTTGCTGATGTTTAGACCAACTATAGGTCACGTGACTTAGCAGACGCAATCGGTCTGTTTCCTTTTCACTTTTAGGAACACTTGTATAAGTTTGACCCAACTTTTGATCTAACTTGTGGTCGACTAGATTGTAAGTGGTTGTGTGCTAACATGCTTGCAAGCACGCATCCAAATCGTGTCATCGATGTTGGACTTTCCTCAATCATTTGTCTTGCGAGAGGCAAAAAAACCTCTTTCCCAGGAAACGAACCTCGATCTTCCTTACGCTTGCTCACTTCCAAGAAAGTCTCAGATAAGATACTCCAAAACAACGCCACCTGTGATCTTCCATGAATAGATGATAACAAATCAGCGAGGATGGGAGCACGATCACAGATCCTCCATCCCGCCCCTGCAGCATTGCCTGCAGGCGCTACGTCAATGCACCAGACCACCAGGTCACAAAATCCAAATATTAAACTAAAACCATAAAGAGTGTAAATTTACCACTCTCTTCTCATTTCTCTTACGTCTGAATGATCTTAAAAGGCTACCAGGGCTGCCACTTGCCCTTGAAAGGAAACACTGTGTCACTGTCCACGCTCTGAATGGAGTGGATAGGCCAGAAGACTTTATCATCTAGGCTACAGAGATCTTGGACGGTACATTTAAAAATCAAACTTCTTTTGTGTGTCGGGGAATGGCATATCAGTCTGACTGCCCTCCTCATCGTTGACGTCTCGTTTTGAAATACTCTCAGAGAAAGCTGCTGTATTATATAATTGGAAATAAAGGTCATTACCAGTGATTGGCACGGCAGGTCGGGAGACACCCTTGATCTTTTTACAGGGAGGAAAGGTTGGCGTTTCTAAACACCTCGAGCAGATCTTGACAAGACGCATGCCATTATTTGCAGTATCATGGAGCAGCACATCCCCAGCATAAGGACTAATCAAAAGGCGTTGAAGAATCACGTGATTCACGGTTTCCCCAAGAGGAGCATCGTTAATCGCCAAGCAGGCAATGTTTTGCCAGCAGCTGTACCTTGTACGTTGTAAAGTTGAGAGTTGCGTTCATTGTCACATAAAATAACTAATAGTACCTTATCAGATAATTTATAATGGCCAGAAAGTGCTTTGCCATATGCGGCTGTCATCAGTTTGGTCGATACCGGATGATGGCCTCGTGTTTTCTCAAACTTGTGCAATTCATAAAACGTCAAAGGCTTGCTTCTATTTTTGCACTCAAACTCATTTCTGCTAAATAATAAGCATTTTATACAGTCCCAGAAACTTTGAGATATAAAACAAATTTGTGCAATCTTTGTACACGTCCTGACTCTTCAGTTCTATGTCATGATTCACCCCCCCCCCCGGTAATACACTGTTCACAAATTTAGGCTCCGTCGAGTTAAACTTTCAGTTGTGTGGTTCTCAGTTAGTTCGCTTCAGAATGTATAGGAATATGATATAGGCGCGGTGAGAAATCGGAGATTTGGAAGTGAAGAAACACACTTCAGGACACTTGGGAACTCATTACACTGGTTTTAATATTGCAACTATACGAATAATTATTTGGTGTTCTTTATTCTGACCTAGAGAAAACAACTTTCTTAATTTCGATGCGAAGATTCAACTATGATCATGAAAGACTAAGTTCTTCACTGGTAAAAGACTGATGGCAATGGTAAACCGCAGTATTTTGATGTGCAGAAATATATATATATTTTTGTTTACTACCATGTTAATACGATTTAATAATATTAATACTACTATTTCGCAATTATGTTCCCTGGACCCAGCTTGTAGGGTATCTTCGGTTTCGGAGAGACAGATTCCTTAGGAGAAAGCCGAGCCAGTCTCGAGTTTTGTTAGAGGGATGGGTGAATACCTATGTCATTCCGACCGTATCCTCATCTCAGTCACAACTGCGACCGGCAATGTATCATCTGCCGGCCTCTTGCTTTGATTTCCTACCTACGCAATAAAGGAAATTGTTTGACCACAAATTGCAATTATTCTTTTTTACACATCGATAGGTCTGTCGATAACGAGTGGCACAACCATGACGCACGTCGAGGCCTATTAATTTAAAAAAAAAGGAAATAAGCAATTTGACATGAAACGACTTGATATGGAATACAATTTTCCACAGCGAATTATATCACTGGCCCTGACAATATCTCTTGATCATTTTTCAGTCCATTTAGCCAAAATTACCATTTCATTAACCAGAAAAGAATAGGGGGGAAAATTTCCCGGAGCCTTCTCCCGCTTCCTCTCTCTTTTGAAAATTATAATTGTCTTTCAATCATTTTGACTCTGTCAAGCCGTTCTAGCGCAAAGTTCAGTTTACTGATACAGGGCAGCCAAAAACACTTTATGCCCTGCTCAATGCATACCGCCTGCCACTGGTTTACATTATCTTCTTTTTTTTTAAAAACTACTTAGCCCTGCGGTCGCCAGGTAGACTGCTGTGGTATGAACAGCCCTTTTGTGTGTTTAATTAATAAAATGTTATACAGCCAGTATATCTGAGACTACCTGTAATCTTCATTCAACGGACCAATTTTGAGACTGTGCAAACACATTTAATGTGGGAGTCACCCAGAGAAACACTAATCCTGAGAAACCTGGCATTCCAGGGAAGCCTCATTCAGGCGTGTACAAACCCGTTTTTGTTTAACCATTCTTGCCTGGATCTAATATATGAAGCAAGATACGGGACGGAGAGCAGCCCCATCCCTGTGGCGGTCATTGTTTGATCAAAATCTCAGGAATTTTTAACAGACATCCAAGGTGGATGTGTTTTTTCCCCTTTTCTTCCCCGCTACAATGCAGTCATGACGACCCAGGCAGTTCACTGACAATACACGTGCTGCTATATATTGTTTGCATATGTGCGTTTAACATTTATCGGCTATTAGCAGACAAAGCAAACTGAGTTGCTCCAGTACTCGGCACCAAAGTGAACGCCAAAGCATTGCTGTGACGTCACGTAGGTATTTGCTAGGCGAACTTGGAAAAAAAACCTCACCAAGTGTACATGTATTTTTTCTCCAATAGAACGGATTAGAGCTCTGCAAAACGGCATCTAGTTAAACAGACGCTCTTAATCACACTTGCTGATGCTGATGGAAGATAGGTGTTGAATATTGAGGCCAATATTCGTTGGTTGCAGTGTTCAAGTAGGCCTAAACTTTATTTTGTGGTCATGGTGTTGCTTGCTGTACATAACATGTCAGCTCGGTCGGTGAATAAACTTATAGAAGATTACATATTACATGTAGTTTCATCCCTCTAACCAGTCTAAATCGAGGGAAAAAGAAAAGCAATAGGACAAGATATTAGTTACCGGAATCCGCTGATAACTATACGTGTACACGGATAGCGTTAGGGGAAAAACGAAATGGAACTCCGTCTATTTCCGACACTCCGCCGATTGCAACCCCATTTAAAAAGTGTTGAATGGAAAAATGCTTACATTTGGTGTCATTGATAAGTAAGTGATTTTAAGGTACGTTTACAATTGTAAAATGTCATCATTACAGACAAACAAAAAACCGCATGAGACTCACCAGCCAATCCACCTCCTAACATGTTGGGAAAAAGGTGGCGCGGGCGCTGCTAGCAATCTGGCCAGAGAGGGCGCGCTTCACCAAAGCAGTTTGCAACAATGGGCCTAAGTAAGAGTATAAAATCTACCCTTCATTTCGCTAAATACTCTACCGTTGTGCCACAGCAGGCTTGTTGCTAAGGGATGGGGGCCCAGAGGGTCGCCTGCACGGCAAGCAGCCGGCCCCCTACATCAGAAAATCCTGAGTATCCAAATTATCTACAGTTCTTGTGATATCCCCCTTTGCCGTTATACTGTGGCTACCCAATATGTCTTACGACGAAGCTGGTGACGTGGGTATGCAGTAGATTCTCGTGTTTTATTTTTTTCATAAGAAGAACAGTACACAAGCAACATTTTCCCAACATCAAACATGCAAACAATTGAATGCTATTGCTGTCACCAATACCAGAAACAAGTTGTATGGCAGTGATTACATTCATCAAATTTTAACAATGAACGGAAAATTAGTGAAACATTAGGGTAACATTTCTTATGTTTTTAACATTTACAAAATATCTATTGTAAGAAAACCCAAGTACTTTTGCAAGAAAACGTTTTTAGTAAAACTTACAGTTCTTCTGGCAAGATTGTGCGCTGCCAACTGGAATACAGATAAACACACTTTTACTTTTTTTGACAGTTATTGATTATTTTCTTTTTACAATGTATACTATTATTTTTTTAAAGTCACGTTTTCCACGGTGTAAACATTCTCTACAAATAGAGTGTCCACAAATTTGAATCACCTTAAGGAATCGACGAAATATGACTCCACGCTAAATTCACATTGAGAAGATTTGCGATTTTAAATATTTTGAGGTTGAAGACAATACTTGATTTTGTGCTTTCGTCTATCCTCTGTAGATCTTTTTGAATGTTTTTCTTCACAATATTTACGTAAAAGCGGCCAATTCAAACAAAATTCTGAAACTTTTACCCTCTTGAACTCACTTTACATTACAATTAAAAAAGTCTCCAACAATGTATTCAACGGCTCAAGGATTTGTTCACACCATTCCATTTAGACCTGACAGATATTCGTCAAGTGGTAACACAAAAACAAAGTAAACAAACTGACGTTAAAAAAAAACTTGCCTCACAAAGAACCTCTCCAAAGGTCAGCATTGGCTTTGTATGTGGTGCTTCGATGTGACTCATCTCCAGCTTCCAATAATGCATTCTCTTAAAGCAAAACTGCCACTCAAACTGATTTGGAGTCTCCAACGTCCGGAGACAGTAAGGCAGGAGAGGGGAAGACGGAATAAAACAGGAAATTAAGAGAGATCATCAGTTTTAGGGGCTGAGATATTATAACACCCCCTGCCTTGTTCATGTGTAAGCCAAAAAAGCGACTTTATCTGATTTGAATCCGGCCTCGCTCGAAATGATAGTAACACCTTGTCCCCTTACGGGCTCGTACTCCTTCAAGCCGACCGATTCAACTCCCAAGTGTTGCTGCATGTTGGGTTACAATTGTAACTGGTGCAGTCTACGTCCCGGGCCTCAGCAGGCGTCTTCCTCTCAAAGTACCAGTCGGCAAAGGCCTTCCTTACTGTTCTTCCAGCCACTGCGTACGTCATCCAAGGCAAGTCAGAAACGGCCTGGCAGTGGGCGTAGCAGGAAGTGAGGAACATGCCGTCCTTGAGGTATCGATTCACCTGGTCGGTCCGCTGTAGAAATAGCTGCCTGTGCTGCTGAAGCACCCCAAGGGCCTCGTCGCATTCTTCTGGGTGGCAATAAAGACCTAGGATGTCCCTCTGCACCCACCTGTCGTAGACGGCGTTGATGACGAATATGGGCGTGGTGACGTATGGGTAGGCATACTGTGGGAAGAAACACTCCCATTTGTTGCTAGACCCCTTAGCCAAAAGGCAGTCTTCATCAAGACCCCCTATAGAAAACAAACAAACAAACAAACAAACAAACAAACAAAAACAAAAAAACAATAGAAAGAATTCAGGCTTATTAATGTAAACCTATATCAAATCAAGTTTGCTTACACTCAAACGAGAGTTCTCAAAAAACGTCACATTGCGCGAAACTCAGTTAGAATGTGCACTTACCCTTTCAAGAGACATTTGCAGACCATTATTGTGCTGAAGCTATATATTAAAATTAATTGTAATTATCAATTACAGTCCCCTTAGGTATGTATTAAACTTAGGGTGTTGTTTGTATTTTAATTGCTGATATGACGCCGTATTCAATGACTTCATGTATAAACGTCAATTAATGTTCAAAACGGGTAATTCCTTCAGTATGCTAACCAAATTGCTTCAAGGACTCTGATCTCACATTGAACATGCTGCATTTGGTACATGTCTTTCATGGCGGTCTCCCATTGCCTGTCACCACTAATGTCCATTTCATCAACGAAGAATCCCCCGTCTGCGAGAGCCTTGAATGGGGCTTCGTCTGGAACCATGCTGCTGATGTGATCAGCATGGAGATACACGGCAAGTGCTCCAGCTAGGCAGAAGGTTAAGAAGATTGGATCAATGAGTTTGTCGTCAAAATAACCACTCATGGCTAAAGAGTACCCTACATACACAAACACACAAGAGTGGTGCAAGTAAACTACGAACTGGAGATTTCAACTCGTCGAATACCAAACATTTTTGCCGACTACCTGTAAAGTGAGCTGCAATAAAATATACATGTAACTGTTCACAGTGTCCACCAAGAAGTAAGAGATCTTTCATAGGCACGGCATTTTTTAGAATTTTGCGAGGAGATATGGCCGAATGAGGTCTTGTATTACTCCGGTATACTTTTACCCATGCTGTTGATGTTCATTATGGAGCAGTAAACCAGTAGAGTTTTGAAAAGAGTCTGCTCTTTTCAAAGAAACGTTTGGAACTCCTAATAGTTGTTAATCATTAATATATTTTCTTCATGACGATATTATCTATTTTCCACCCTGTTCTCCCCACTCACCAGATTCACCACTCAACAGAATTCTCTCCGCTTGCTCCAACCCTGCTGACTGGAGTAAATAGTTGACAACTGCATCTAACACCCTGGCGCCTCGATAGTATATTTTCGTATTGTTGTAACTAACTGGATCACCACGGGTACCTTTGGGTAGCAATAAAATACATGTGCTTCGCTACTTAAGACATGCTAAACAGAACTGTAGAAAGCAAAACAGAGCAGAGTGTATGCTCCCTCCGTAGGAACATGTACCCCAATTAGCACATTAATTGATTATCTAAACTGAAAAGTGTGCTGGGGTTCAAACGCGTCGCCGTGCTAAATAAAAATACCTTGCAACGTGATACAAATAAATGTAATTAAGAAAATTAATCGATAAACTCTTCATGGGGTATTTCTTGTAATTAACTTTTTTGTGTATGAAACAGGGTTTAATTGATTAGTAGGGCCTAAGCACTTAGTCAGTTTCCCTACATAGCTTGTTTCATGGTTTGTGTTTAAAAAAGCCTCGAGTGATCCCTTTTCGCCACTTCCCAGGTTGCACCGTGTATTTTGGGGGTGATCCCTGGCCAAATGATGTTTAAAGTTTTATGGCTTCTGAGCAGTGCCCTAAACAAAGATATTGACAAATGGGAAGGGCTGCCAACGTAGGGCTGGAAAGCTCAGTTGGCAGAGCACCGGTCAGGTGTTCTTGAAGTCGTACGTCAATTTCTTAGTTCATCTTTTTAATTATTTTTGATAGGGCAAATGCCTCCTTTGCCCCCCTATGCCCATACTTGTGTTTCGTGCATTGTTTCCGAAGAAACTTAAACGTTGTGTACTTCCAAACGTAAACCTCGATTTTTTTTCTGCCATTATCACAGGGTTTTGAAATTCCTTCATTAGAGCTATCCAATTGACTTCTATTTTGGGTTAGAGTATTCTTAATATATTTTTTTAAAGGGTATTTTTTTCCTGAGATACGGTAAATGATTAAATACCAGAAAATGATGCTCCATCACAATAGTTCACGACTACCAAGTTCCAGTCGAAGAAGTCTGGATTGACTGTAAAGTTTGCAGAGAGGATGCCGCCAAATGTTTTTGTTGGTTTAAGCAAGCGCGATGACCCCAGGTCAGTAGTGCTTCGGTGAGCGCATGCCGTGTTGTTGTAGCACCAAGAACCACCAAGTAGATGGATGATCCAGGAGTAGTGGTGCTCTTGTGAGGACGCTGTTGAGTCAAATAGATAATCAAACACTGACATTGCTATACATTATCAAAAATAACTAGGCGGGAAGTTTATCTTTAAGTGGAAAAAGACAGTAATACTTGTGACCAACGCATTTACCAGAAATTTATAAAATGCCCCGTTGTGTACGTGGTCACGCGCAGGCGCAGTATGTAATACTGTGCAGCTAGGCGTGAACTATAGGCGGCCGTCTAGCATGTCGGCGTAGTGTGTTAGTAAGATCCTACCTCAGTCCACTGTAGAAGCAATTGGCTAACGTTAAGTCAAGCAGTTCAAGTGAATTTAGAAGGCTCTCACACATGTACCTCTACTTACAAATAGCATGTCAACACAGTCAAAATTATAAATTGCAAATCCCAATGCAAAAAAATTGACCCATGGACGTATACTGTAAATTTAGTCACCATCTGAAAATTTTTACGCTCTAAACTTCGAAGCACGGCCCCAAATCGACTTTATTTGCAAAATTACAACTCAAAGGTTTACTTCAACGAAAACTGGCTTTGGAACTCAGTGAGTTGTTCAGCCTCAGTGTCTTGAGATGAGCATACCACATGACCCCTTTAGTGCGATTTTTGGAGGCAGTATGTACAATTGGTGTTTGTAAATATTTATGACAAACTTTGGTAAAAATACTTCATGAGTTAGTCTTTCATTTCAGCCATTTGCTATTTACGTTTGATTAACGTACACGAGAATAGGACCTTATGAATTTAAAATTCTTTACAAACTATATGGGACCATGCTATTGTGAGTTAGCGACTGCATAGACGGGCAGTTTACTGATTTCTGCTAATGATTCATTTGAATGTTCAGATGTAGGGGCCTATTATGTAAAATCACCGTCTTTTCAATATATTTTGTGCAGCTGAAACAATGCCCCGGAAAATATCAAACAATAAGATCAAGTTGTTGTTAAACGGAGGAAAATTTATTAAAAATCCTTATTGATAGGCAAGACACATTAATTATGCAGTTGAAAAAATGTCAATTTCCACACACCACTATCAGATGGCTGCCATGTTGCAACACACATTAATTATCTGGGGCTGCTAACAGAGGGCGCTCTAACAGAAGAAATTGCTCAGTTTGAAACGTCAAGACGCCCTATTTTTGATAGTTTTGAAGGAATGAGTTTCTGGGTATTACAAAAATGAAAATCAATAGAATGTCTCAAAACAGGAAATCTGCTTTCTGATTTAAAGAACAGCAAAAAAACCACAGCGGACATGTTTCAAGGGCATGGTAAGTTTACAACGTTCAGAGTTAATGTATTGTACCATTCACAGAAAAATAAAACTCATCAAAAGTTGTCACATCTCTTGATTTGATACAATTCGGATTGACTGCAAACAATGCAAAAGCCAGTAGAGTATCTACGCTGTACTGTACTACGTCTGGTAACATTATTTCACACACGTTAGACATTCGCAGGGGGCAATGCTAATTAACGGCTTCTCCTCGTGTTTACCTAATGAGAGCAAACGGTTACATATTAAAAAGGCATTTTCTTTTTGCACACTTACCATTGCGGAAATAGTAGGACGGTGGGCTTCCATCTAAGCAGTAAGCCCCCGTCTTGTCGGCCAGCGACTGCGGCAACACCATTAGACTCGCATTCACGTTGTGGCCGACGGTCTTGACCACTGCACCCCCGCCGTCTCTGAAGTAGTTCCAGTAGAGCCAGAGGCCGAAGAAAGCTAGCCAGAGAGCCGCGAGGAAAGCCGCTATAGCCCAGCACCTGCAGGAGCTGACCCTCAGTCGTCCTCTTGAGGCTTTCTGGAGGTTCTTTTTCACGACGACCTGATCCTCATTGAGGAGGCTATGGTCCTCCAGTCCGGTACCTCGGAGGTGGAAATTGGACATCCTGGAATCCAATGAGGAATCTTTGGACTAAATAGATCAAAGATAGTAAAAGATTGCCGCATCCATAAGAACAATCTTGGAAATTCCCTTTTCACAGGTGCTATAGAAACTACTGCACCGGCATGATATTTCTGTAATATTCTGCACCTCATTGTAGAAACCAGATGGTATTTTCTTTGTGTTTGTACAGTTCAGTCCTGCAAACAGTTACTTTTTGGGTTTGTAAACACTCTTTTAACGAGATTCCATTTGAAGGATGACCAAGAACGTAGGACAGCAAATGAATATGAATGTAAGAAATACTAATTCCTTCATGCAACTTGTAAGTTCACTTCATTACTCAATTTCAAAAGTTATCTATTGCGAAAATTTTAATCCAGTTTTAAATAGAATAATTATCTTATTACAGAACGATAAAATTAGCAACTTCTTTGCCCAGCGCGCATAGTACGTGCATTTGAAGTTATTTTATAACTTAATATGATTTGCTCATGTTAAAAATGTGAGGATATAGACTGCGCTCTTGAGAATTTAAAACTGGCCACATATTGCCAAACAGAACACAGGATTGTCTCAGCAAATTCATTTATTTCAATTATTCTTTAATTGGAATCAATACATTTCATTCAAGAAGAATATAAAGAGAATCTAAGGTACATTTTGTTGACATTAGTACGGAGTCTTGTTCCAGCTTAACACAGCTGAGCAAAAATATAGATATCATGGTCAACATTTTCTTTATTCCTCTCATCGCTTCTCAGTTTTTCTCCTGTCTTAGTGTCCCGTGTCCTATTTGAAACTTTTCCACTAAACCTTCTTCTAGGTCATGTTGAATTTGATGTGCCAAAATTTTGTTCCCATTGAAGAAATATGATAAAACAGCCCGCGCATGTCCACGTATGAATGGTTCTACGAACGAACCCTGTCCCACTGAATACGTTAAATTGTCTTTCTAGTTTCTTCTCACTAATGTTTCTTTTCAATCCCAAAAAAGAAAAAAATGGTGCCTTTCTGGACAAGTGCCTTAATTTCGTCAAATGTCTAATTCAGTTATTTTCTCCCGTTGTTGACATTATGCCGATCAAGTAGATCTGTCTTTGTTGAATCTCTTTGATAATCACAGTGTTTTCACACAACCGGACTAATTCTTCACACGATACGTATATTTGCAGCAGAAATTGCCACTCGAGCGTAGGAAGTCGCCTTTGTAATACGTTTTCATACCTAGCATTACCTTTAAGCACGACTGAATGACCACTGTAAAATGAAGGAATTGATTTATTTGAGGTGTCAGCGACACTTGGGCCTGTTCTCCTTGTTTTGGCCTTTTTTTCTTTTCTTTTCTATATTCTGTTTTACTTTTCTTTTCTAGGAGGGGGCACCCCCTGGCTCGCATTGCGACGCTTTTGCAAATGGTTATAACCCAGGAGTTTATGATGACTCGATCACCCAAAGCTCAACAAAATGTATATTAATTCGAATGAATAGAAATAAAAGATTAAACAGTGGTCATATGTGATAAGATATGTGATAAAGATGGATCGTGCCACTAGGCTGTAGGTACACTTTGTTCTTATACAATCTCTATTATGTACAACTGGAACATTCTCTGTGGAAATGTGCTATTATATTTGTAAATGATAAATTTCGTTTATCGAGAATTTTCGGGACCAATGGTGAGTATCTTCAGGAAAACAATTAGACATGGGTTGGTTTACACCTATATACAATCTTCGTTCGTTTTTGTTATGAAAGATAATAATAGATAATATAATAATAAAAGATAATATGCTTGTATTAATAACTAATGAGAAACGGCACCAATTTTTAAAATCAGCACTGAGGAAATAATAACGTTTGTGAACCAGCTTCCTTTATGCATGGATAACGAGCACACTGCTGTAGCCCTTAGACACACCTTACATGCAGTATGGAAGCAAACTCATTTTAAATCAGTCAGCTATCCATTCAAATCTACCATTGAATGATACGTACCTTTTGTCACAGCAGGAGACAACACATCAATTGAAGCACTATCCTTCGACATTAAATATTAGAATCACGGAGTTTCCAAGGATGCAACATGAAACACTTTCCAAAAATATGTGAGTGGAATAAAATCAAAGACACGACCGGAGTACGGCTTACAAAGATGGACCGGTAGTAAGTATATGCCTGGAGCGTCCAGGAAAAATTATGGCTATAAAATCACTTGCGACACGAATTCAATTCAGCGCCGTGCAGCCTCACACTAGTCGAGAGAAGTACCGTCCTGCCTTGCAGAAAACACCACCAGCATCGTGTACAATTCGCTAATGTCAACACGAATTCAATTCAGCGCCGTGCAGCCTCACACTAGTCGAGAGAAGTACCGTACTGCCTAACAGAAAACACCACCAGCATCGTGTACAATTCGCTAATGCCAACAACGCACAATTGTGTTAAGTCATTCAATGGTTTTTAATCATGATGGTACCATCTGGGATAGACTTGCTTTAGCCTCACACTATAAAGGAGCAAATTTTACGCGACCGTGCAGAACAACAAAAGGTTATTTGGATATTTGCGCACTATAGCCCGGCAGATTCTACACCAACGTTGCACAGGTGCTGTATACATGACAGAAACTATATTTTCGGTGACCAGAATACTTTGGACATAAATAAACGCAGTGAATACACCCAATTTAGTGATTTATTTCCGTGATGTGGACCGGTAATTCTGAATTCATGCAAGATATTCTTCAAAATTAAGAAACGGAAGCCGCTTTGTACAGAGCGAGATAGGCTATTTTTTATTCTCTGTTAACGTGACGTGGTTACAAAGAGTGACTTGTTTGTCAATAATTGTTTGCAAAATAATTACTGGTATCCTCATTGTGATGGGGCATTTATAACTTTGCATTTCTGTTAAATATTTTTGCAGTTCATAAAAAAATTGTTTTTGTTTCATTTCTTAAAGTTTTCGACCTTGACATTTTTTAGATTTTCTCCCAGCTTGGAATTCCTAAACTGATGAAATTAGACACACGCGATTATACCTGCTGAAACGATATTGTCCACGGGGAAAAGAATTATAATAATTTATACCTGTTTGTACGGTCGAATTTATTTAGCACAGATATGATTCATTAGTGGTACAGACAATAAAAACGCTGGCGTAATAAATTATAATCACACAGGCAACATCTGTTGCCACCTCGTCGCCGTATCGCTACGAAAAGGACGAGCACCTGTTGCTGGATATAATAATGAGAGCTCTTCTACTCGGTAGGGGGGTGATATCCCAGAGGGACGATTTATTTACATTAGATTAATTGAATCAGCTCTAGTCACGTGTTCTTTAACATCCATGCCAGGGAATTAATACTGTCTGGGTGTTTCACTTTATCGAGACAGAAAAGGTTGTGGGAATGGAACGGATATGGTCCTGCGTTATACAGATGGCATTCTGCCAGCCCGCTTAAGATGAATGTATGACTGTGTGCTGTCCCAATGATTCGGTGAATACAAATGGAATGCTCTCGGTATTTGGAGCTCTATTTTGTTTGGAATCGTAAGTTTCATGAGATGTAATGTAAAACAGCTTGATTACTAATACGCTTTGCTATTATTCATGGCGATAGATTTTGACATAAATTTGATAAGGTTTGATAACTGCACAACTTCTCAGTTAAGATGTCAAATTTGCCACTTATGCTTGTCAGAATAGTCTGAATTTGTTGCAATTTAAAAAAAAAAATTGGAAATTCGTCTGCAGTTGCGTACATGAGTTTTGGGTTGAGGGGAAAATCTACATTCAGTTTCAAAGCACTTTTCCACACCCCAATATGACGATATCCTTTAAGTATTGCCAGAAATTTGTCTCTACTGCCCACCTCATACACTGTGCCGTCTATGCCACTTGAAGAAGGCTTGGCTTAAGGTTTTTTATGTTGCATTAATTTACAACCTAAAAGCTTAAACATTCCGTTGTTGTGTGGGGCGGTCTGTATTTTGGACAAGATCGAACATCCACATTGCCAACATTGATTTGCCAAAGATCAACAATAAAACATACACAGTTCGCCATTTATTTTGCAAGTGCGACGGAAAAACGACGCAAAAGCTACCAACACATCAATAATCATTGATGCTGTCCAACAACCAACGCTGTTACACGTATGTACGAAAGAAGGCTCGAAATTTGATTTTTATCAAATGTAAAACTGCTATCACTGCATGAATATTTGAGACGGGGCTTGTCGTCTGGGATTAATCTGGATTCTGTACACGATCAAACACCCACACGGCCGATATTAACTTGGCAAAAATTAACCAATCACTTCCATCCATCGTTTGCCATGACATACCGTACGTAAATTTAGTGAACGTTTAAGTTTAGTGCAGTCCACTTTCCAGATACTTGATTTTTTTTCCATAACGATTTGAGTACCATGCCCATGACCAACAGCACCTGGATCTTATCTTGCTTGAAGTGCGTATGGATGGGACTTCTATAATGGTGTTGGAATGGGCTCAAAGCTGTTTTTCTATAAAACAGCATGAACAGATAGGGCAATTTCGCACGAACTGGAAAAATCACGATTGTAAAGTCTTTTTACAGAGCTCTGAAAATTCCCCCTAGATTATTGATAGCAAAAACGATTTAATGGGATCTCCTGAATTTAAAAGACTGAACAAAAGCAGAAAAGCCAGAGAGAAAATTATCAAAATAGTCCCCTGTATGTTTTCAATGGCCCGTTCACAATTTTTGCCGCCAAGGCCTTCTGTGCGCATGCGTTCGTAATGAGTTAATTAGCGAAAAGGTTTAATGAGGTACGCTGCTGGATGATGTAGATAACTTTAGCACAAGACACTGCTAATGTCTAGTTAATGTAGAATTAACACACAGCAAACGTGTCACATCGATTACAGTTCAGACGTGTGTTCTGTCTCGGTATAAGTATTCAGCTGGAGATATATAAAGAAAACACTACGGTGTGTATTAATTAAATGCAAAGGGCGATATTTCTTCAGTAGGTTTGTACGGAATATCAGTTACCAAGTATCATTAGATTTACTTTTCCAGAGGCAAATAAATCAGAGAAAACTTGTTTTCCGTAGAAGTGCTCTTTAAATTCCATTTTCGTACAGACGTGATCGAGAGAGGAACTCGTGCTTTATTCGAAAATTCAAAGACCGTGTTTGACTTGTCTGAGAAGCATCGTTCATCGTTGATGTCAAGAGTGGTGCAAGTTGGATGTTGTAAAGATTCAGGGCTGAAATATCTCAGCTTGACGATGCAGCATCCATATACGTTCAAGTCGCGATATCAAGTCCCGAGCACCGTTCACATGGCACAGGTTGGTTGATATGGCGAAGGTCAAACGTTCATATGGCCTAGTGTGATATTAAAATGTCGTCACCAGCCTCCCATAGTTAGATTTTCAACAAACAGACCGCTGGGTCACGTGACCTGAGGAGTCGAGTTGACGTAGAGTTTCTTTCCTCGCCTTCCAACTCTGCGGTCCGGGTTCGATTATTTGCTCGTCTATACAATTTTTGATAAATCGTACTGCTCTGAGCTGGACTCTCTCAACTTCTTCTGTGAGTGTCTGCATATGTGGATTCCATATACTGCTGCAATGATTTAATTTTGATCGAACCATCCTATAGGCAGTGGCTTTGGTCGTTTCATTGCAAAGTCTCAAATTTCTTCTCAGGAGGCCAAGGATCTTATTTGCTCCAGACGTTACATGGTGGATGCTTGTGGACACTGAAAAGTCCACGCTAAGATATGTATGTTGATTCACTTCTTATAGGATAGTATCTCTCATTCATAATTGGTGAGTGATTGGATTCTGTTTTATGAGTCATGTGCATCCTAAAACATTTTGAAGCATTGAATCTCAGTTACCAAGATTTCTCCCTCTAACATAGAGAGTATATGTCTTGTTGCGAGGCGACACTATCATTTTCTGAAGACGCTTCCCTATACAGAATGTAGTTATCTGCAAACGGGAGAGGTCATTTATATGCATGAGGAATAGTATCGGACCTAAAACTGTTTGAAGTTTGAAGATTGTCAGCATTAAAATCGACGGTTTGGTGAGGCATAGTGAGAAAATAACCAATCCAATCTTTTATCTTGTTTCTGACATTAAGATGATGTAACCTGGTTAGTAGGCGTTGATGGGGGTACCCTATCCAAGGCTCTATTAAAATCCATTAAAATGTGGTCGACGTGGCTTCTCTTATTAAGAATCCTGACGAGATCTTCAGTTAAGGCTGCTAGTTTTTTTTTTAGAAAACCGTATTGACAGTCATCAAATATGTGTTGTTGGTCAATATGAGCCATAATATGGCAGTGTATTTTATGCTCAAGTAACTTGCTGGATATACAAGTTAGGGAAATGGGACGATAGTTGGCCTAGCTATCGCCCAATGACAACTTCCCACTATCTATTGACTTAAAATATGTTCTGCGGTATGGGAGCAATCACGTCTGCACACTCCTTTAAAACTTTAGCAAGCATGCTGTCTGGCACAGGTGCCTTGTTGGCGTTCAGGTTTTGGAGTAATTCCATGACTTCATATGTTGTCCCAGTCAGGGAAGGTAAGTCTGGAACTGAGCTTTGGCCAATTCCAGGAAAGCTGAGCAGGTCTTCCTTAGTGAAAATAAAAAAACCCTGCTCATTTAGAGAATCAGTGTTTTCATGTCAACAAGAGATAGTGTGTCCAGCAACATTCAAGGTAGAAATTCCAAACACCTCTTGTCTCTACACCTTGATGAGATTCTAGAAGGGCTGGGTAGTGTGGCGGGCATTCCTGGGCCTACCCAAAGTTGTTAGTGGAAGAGTATATCTTCCCAACTTAAGGTTCTTCCCTAGACGAGAGACCACACAGAGCGACCTAGGTTAAGCGTGCTGGTCCGTTTTGAAGGAAATATACCGCCGATTGTGACTTGAGAGTCAATTAGTCCCTGTTAAACGTACACAATGAACCTGTCAAGAAAGTATCCTTGGCAAGAGAATCGTTGGTGCAGGAGATACAATTTATTCAACAATAATCAACAAAAGCAATGTACAGTAAAGTGATTGGAAGGGTTGTTTTGTTACGTGGGTCCTCTGCTTCAATTGGAGTAAGCGCTAACTAACCCAGGGCCGCAGCAGCAACACTCAAATGCATCATTTATGCGCGGCACGCTATGGAGCGTCAAAAGTGGACAACCCAATTTTCTGCTTGTAGATTTTTGGGATTTTGGACTTTGCCTAAAGCATTTTCAAAAAACGCAATTTTCCGCTAGGAAAAAATTGGATTTTACTTTAACAACTCTCGTGGTGCGTCAAAAGTGGACAACTAAGAACTTCAAACTCTCACCGGCAAAATATTTGTCATGCTCCAAAAGTGGACAACACCGTTTTCTCATTTTCTGCTAGTAGATTTTCGGGTTTTGGGAATATGCGTAAAGCAATTTCAAAAACTCACTTTTCTGCCAGCAAAAATTGGGAATTTACTTAAAGAAGTCTTCGTAGCACGTCAACAGTGGAAACTAAAAAATTAACTTCAAATTTCCACCAGC